CACTGCAATGGTGGCATGAATGTTATAGAAGTAACTGAATTGTTTCTGGTTCAATTTAAAACCTGCTCCATAAGATGGAATTTGTGCCTACTACTGTTAACTGTTTAGGTTTCCCCCATGGGGGACATAGTAACAAACTTCCCCCTAAGTTCTTCTTTCCATATCCACAAATTAGTGCATCTCTCAACCCTCATCAGAGAAGCTTATTTTTTGCAATAGATGGCAGTTAATACAGAGATCTACAATGGGTCAATGTGTAGAGAAGAAGGGAATGTGTAATACTCAACTCTTAATTTGACATCTTTATCGTACCCCCTCCCTCCAAGACTCAGATATTTCATGGAAGATGGGTCAGACAAATTTCTGAATGAAAAAAAAAAAAGAAAGAAAAAGAAAAGAACATGGCTGGTCCCAGGTTTTAGCAACAGATGAATGAAAAAAAAGAAATAAAAAAGGAATATATATGACTGCTCCTAGATATTGCGGAAGAGAAGGTTTATTATAGATAAGATGGAGAGTATAGACAGAGGCAGGAACATCTGGTAGAGTCCAGAGTAGACATGATTGTGAACCATGTGAGGAAAGTGGGCGGGAATGGGGGGAGGGGAACCAGGTGCATCAGCCAGGAGGTCCAAAGAGAATAGATGGAAAAGACCAGGTAACCAAAATGGTTGGATTATATAGGAAAGGGCTTCTGGGGAAAGAGCAGCCCAGACCCTGGGATGGAGAAGTTTAGGATAGGGAATAGGGTATGCAAGCCAAAAGGGTCCTGAAACAGGTAGAGAATGAAGGATGCAGGGAGAACATGGAGGCCAGTGTCTGCTTTGGTATGTTAAATAGGCACCTCAGTCATTTGTCCCAGGGTTTGAAATCTAACAATCTTAAGAGTCAGAAATAGTGGGTGTCTACAGTAAAATATTTGTTGAACATGGCAGGGTCACTGCACACATGGACAAGATCCACACAAGATCAGGTCAGCCCAACTCCTAACGTGAATAGCTAGCTCCTCCCTAGCTGAGGAGCTATCGGCACCTAAGGGTTCCTGGGGGAGGAAGAGCCAGTTCTCTTTAGGAACAGAGCTCCTGAGAAGCTGTCCATTCTCCAGTAGATGAACCTACCATTTGCACAGAAGGCAGCACTCAATGGGGTCTTTTTATTAAGTAGAGCAGGGGCTGGAGAGTTGCCTCAGCAGTAAAGAACACTTATTTCTTTCAAAGGACTCAGGTTCAGTTCCCAGTACCCATGTGGCAGCTCAAAACTCTCCATAATTCCAGTTACAGGGAATCTGACCTCCTCAGGTACCAGGCACACTGTGTCTCACATACATACATTCAGACAAAACACTCATATACATAAAATTTTAAAACCTAAAAATTAAAAGAACACATGAGATTGAGAAAGAAGAGGACTGGTGACGCAGAATTGGAAGGAGAAGTGGGGTGGATTTGATCAAAACACATTACATACATGTATGGAATTCTCAAACAATGAGTTTTTTAACTAAAGAAAAAAACTGAAATGGCACATGCTTGCAATATCAGCACTAAAAAGACAGAAACAGAAAGACGCCTGGGGGCTCCTGTCTAGTCAGGCAAGCCTCATCAGTGAGCTCTGGACCCCCAAAACCAAGATGACCATCTCTTAAGGAAAAATATCTAAGGTTGACCTCCAGGCTCCATACACACAAACACACATGCACACATATACATGGGGAGGCACAGCTGAGACACCTACACGGGCTGTTGCTCTGTAATATGGCCACTCTACATACCTCAATCGCATTTATTCTAATAAATACTAATTCTGACTTTCTCCATTTTAGTATTAATTGTTAATGCTTTGAGTAAAAGACTTAAGTCATGTTGTCTATCTGTCCTAATAGTGTCTAGCATGGTGCCCCATAAAAAACATATGCATTAAATTTTGTTAAATGTATTTTATTCATGCGCATGAGTGCTTTGTCTGCATGTATGCCTGTGTACCGCATGCAATGCCTAGTGTTCAAGAAGGTCAAAAAAGGGAGATGGATCCCCTGGAACTGGAATTAAAGGTGGCTATAAGACACTGGGTGGTGTTGGGAACTGAACTTGGGTCTTCTGGAAGAGAAACCAGTGCTCTTGACCACAGAGCCATTGTTCCAGCCCACATCAAAAAAAAAAATGAGAACTACATGAATATATCAAGAAATAGCTGAGAGCTCAGAGTATGACACAGTGGTAGAAAAGGTGACTGGCACACAAAATTTTAATCCTCTGGCTGTCTCTGCCTGTCTGTCTGCAGTGAAGGGGAAAATGGCTGAACATTCCTTGCTATTGTCTTGCTCAACAGTCTAAGAACTGGGGTATTTTACATTATTCTGACAATTACTATTATTAGCCAGTAAGAAGGCAATTTTTAATTTATAAAATGAACAATTAATTACCTTTGATTAAAAAATAATACTTGAAATACATTTCTGAGATAGACACACAAGTACACATGCTGTATTTGTCTAAGTCTGGCTATTTCTCTTATGAGGGCATAAAAGAAATGAAAGTTAGCCAGTATTACCGGGATGCTTTCCAGCTTGGAATGTGGGGTTAGTTTTTACTTGGCACATGTATAAACAGCACTTCTTGCAGCTGTTTAATGCATATTTAATGATCACTTTTACAGTAATCCTACATTAAATCATATTAACCAAACTAAGTTTCAGTTCTTCAGATGGCTGGCCAAAGGGCTACTGGGTCAGCACCATGGACAGGGGAGCCGTGCCAAAACAGCTAGGAAGGCTTATGAAATGACAGCCCATGGTGAGATGGTCTACCAAAGAAGCAGTTGGGTTAACTGCTTTTTGGGGGATCGCAGAGGAAGAAGTCTCTAATATACTCAGAGGACTGAGGTCTTAGGGAAATAACTACTCTTCAGTGTCTCAAGCTTGCATTTATTGACCTGTGTGTGGATGCACTTCTCTGTTGACAAATGTGCTCTTCTGCTCTCAAGACACAAACACTCATGCTGAAGTCAGAATAATGGTTAATTAGCAAACATGGGGACAATGGTTGTCCTTTAAAAGCCTCTATTCAAAAGAACTGTTGATATGCCTGGGGTGGGCTTATGAGGTTACTGAACTTGCTTCAAATCAGAGCCCTTGGCTTTCAGCAATACATTCTGATGCCTACACAGAATACACAGAATGCTCAGAATTTGCTTCAAAAACACTTCTGAATCAGGAGACTGGATGGAGGTACAGAGTAGAGAGATTAGCCATGAGCTGCTAACAGTTACAGCTGAATGGCAAGAACATGAGCTAATTCTACTTTTGTATACCTCTAAAATTTTCCTCTGAGATATGGGTATGTACTTCTGAAAGACCAGAAAGTATAATAATCTCCACACCTAAGAGATAATGAAGGTGAGTCCAAATGTCTTCTACTCAAGGTAGAACTTTTACAGAAGACAGGTTGCAACTTCAAAAGACAGGCTTGAAATGTTGCCTAACTTAAGCCAAGGTAACAGAGAAACAAAATTATCTTTTTTTTCTGAAGCAAGACCTAAGGAAAGCAATTTCTTAACCAAAAACAAATGAAAAATTTCCATGCACCTCCCTTGACAAGCACCTGCACAAATCCAGAGGCCGAGGGAGGCACACTTCCATTCAGGCATGGTGGTGAGTGCCTGGAATCCCAGCGCTCCAGAAGTAGAAGCAGAAAGACGACACACAAGACAAAGCCACCTGGGCAACACAGCAAGATTTTCTCAAAAAAAAAAAATATTTTACATCCTATTTCATAAAACTATCATCCTAATAGAAACAATGGGTATGCTTCTCAGTCATTCAAAAGTGTGATTATTCCATTGCTAACCAACTGCTTTTAATTAACCTGGCCTGGCAAGTCTTGACCCCTTTTCCAGTCTAGTAGCAAAGGTTAGATCTAATAGCTACTCCTAAAAAAGAAAATGTAACCTATTCAGTCCCCACCATTCCCTAATGTCCCCCACCTAATTCATAAGACAGGGCTTCATGTGGCCCAGGCTAGCCTCAATCTTGCTTTAAGGCCATGAACTCTTGATCCTGCTGCCTCCACCACCTCCCAAGTTCTGGGATTCCAAGCAAGCACCACTTCAGCTAGCTCCCTCGTGTCTTATACTCTGCTCCATTCAGCTCAAGCTAACATCTCCCTGAGTGCGGCAAACCTTCGTGGTTTTGAGATGCTCAGATACACACCTGGCTTAATACCATAAATGAGCCACAAAAATGAAGGGCCCTCTTCTTGTCCGAGTCTGAACCTCGGCTTCCACATGCATCCATCACCTTCGGCACTTGCATCGCTCTACTGAGGTCTGAGCGCCCTAAACTATAAACGGAGGCACCCCCATCCTCTGGACGGGATTTTTGTCAAGACAAGGCTTGCTCGATCCGTAATTAGTCTGTCCTTTGGATCTCATCCCGAGAAAGGCTTCTTCCAAGAAATTTACCCAGGCCTCTTACCTAGACCAAATCTCAAATGTGTTTCTTTTCTTGGAAGAAATCACCACAACTACAGAGAACATTATTTGTGACTTGTTGATGTTTTCCATGTCCAGCAGATTGAAAATTCAAAAATGGTAAGAGGATCCTGATTTTTTTTCACCCCCTTCACCATGTCTGCTAGGAAGCCAGTACACAATATATATTATTTTTTAAATGCAGTTAAGACAAGCTGTGTGCTGGCTCTGATCTATGCCCTGGCAGACACTAGGTGAACCCACGGACTGACTATCTCTGGCCTTCCTTCAAGTTATGCCTTGTATACATATGATGTTTTATGCCTCTGGGATGCCAGAATTGGTCAAATTATGAAAAAACCTCTGATTAATAAGTCATTGGCCTGTTTTCTAATGAGCTACCGGCTCTGAGAATAAGATTTGTGTTGCCCACTAATGAATGTCAAGAGCCTAAAGTACTGTCACATATAGGCAGGCACTCCATAAATACTGGATACGTATTCATGAACTGGTAGGTTCTGGGACATCGAGCTATGGAGTTTCACAGCAGTAGAGAAATCCAGGTCTGGTTTATTAGGTACCAGGTAGCCCTTTTAAACATGCTTGGCCACTCAGACCCGGAGCCTTGCACAATTAAGAGATTCCCAAAAAGAAAAATGAGGCTTCTCCTGACCATACATTTGAACAGAGTCTATCACAGGGCCTTCCTCAGAAGGAGTGCTGGCTCTAAGGACCCCAGACAGCAAGCACTCTAAATATGTATGGCCAAACCGTGGCTGTAACCCTTCCGCCAAACAAAGGAGTCCCTCCCCCCTCCCACTCCCCACGCCGACACACACACACACACACACACACACACACACACACACACACACACACTCGCATCCCCTTTCACTAAGAAAACCACTCCACGGGGCCGTCTCCAGGGCCTGCGGCAGGACGCTCACTGCCGCTTCGCGCCGTGCTTCACAGCCTCTGGAGAAACGGGATCCGACCTCAACGTGTCCCTCCGCCCCGACCTCATCCCTCGCACCCTCACCCCTAAAGTCTCTCGGCGGCCAGTCACGGTACCGCGCGCTCTCGCGAGACTCCTCCACGCAGCCCCCCTCGCCTGCAAGGAAGCCTCACGCGGACCCCCGCCCCCCCTGTCGCGAGCGGCGCATGCGTGGCCCCGCGCCTCCCAGTGCCCCCCGCGCTCCCCGCTGGGCGAGCTGACGAGGCTGCGCGCCAGCTCCTCGCCCCGCGAGGCCTTACCTCGTCCCGCTGCTTCTTCTCCTCCCCACCCCCAACCCTGGCCTAGGCCCTCGGCAGCCTCGTGTGGAGGAGTCCGGAGTGCCGCGGGCGCTGCTGGGAGCCGCCAAGAGCCCGGTCCCGGCTTCGGACACTCCTGCCCCGGCTGGACACCTGCAGCGGCCTGGACCCGAACCGAGAGCCCTGGGCCGGCCGCGCCTCCGGTGCCTCGCGGACACACCCCCTCCCGCTCCCCGCCTTAGCCCAGCCCGACCTCAGTCCCTGTGTTCCCTCCTAGCCCAGAGTCCGGTTCTCTTCCCGACCTTGGCCCCTAGAGAACGAACCTCAAGGGAGGGGGCACAGCTTGATTGGAGAAGAGGGCGGGTTTGCAGACTTTTGGGGTGGATGCACATTCACCTTGTCAAGATTCTAATAAAAATTTGATTAATCAGCCCTGGAGTTCCTTGTTCCGGCTGACGCGCTATCTTTTATCTCCCTCCCGAACCGTATTTCCAAGGGCATTTAAGTAGGGGGCACTCGGAAGCTCCTCTGGGCCCTTCCTTGGAGCTAGACCTGTTGGCCCTGGTTGGGTCATGGCTACAGTCCTGGACTCTCAGGTCGACGTGGAAGTTGAGGAGTGCATCATCATGAAAGTGGAAAAGGACTCGGAGTGGGCATCAGAGCCCATTCGGGCGAGATCAGGAAGCACCGAATGTGAGTCCTTTCGTAAATGCTTCCGGCAGTTCTCCTACGAGGACGTGACGGGACCCCACGAAGCTTTCAGTAAACTCTGGGAACTCTGCTGCCGGTGGTTGAAGCCAGAAATGCGGTCCAAGGAGCAGATCCTCGAGCAGCTAGTAATAGAACAGTTTCTCACCATTCTCCCGGAGAAGATTCAGGCTTGGGCACAGAAGCAGTGCCCAGAAAGTGGAGAGGAGGCCGTGGCCCTGGTAGCGCATTTGGAGAAAGAGACCAGAAGACTGAGAAAGAAGGTGAGAGAGGATTTTGAATGAAGGGGATGGGAAAGGCAGGCGGGCAGGGCTACCGTGCTGGAAGCAGAGCTCATTATAGAAATAAATGGTACCAAAAAAAAAATCCATACGCTGAATCCTCCCCAAAAGCAGTTTTTCATATTAAATGGAGGAGAGAATATGGCCTGTTTGTTCTAATCCTTGGTATAATGTTTCCACCAAAACTATCTAGACAGTATTAAATAGTTAATGCATCACAGGGTTTGTGTTTGGTGGGAGGGGGAGATGTCATGGGTACCTGAGCATCCTCTCTAATCCTTTACTCTTCCAGACATTGTCTTGTGAAGTGCACTTAGTGCCATGGTCCTTGGCATTCATCCAGTTTAACTGCTAGACCGTCATTTTTCAGCATCCTTGCATGCTGGTATAGTCATTTTCAACACCCTTTTGTCAACTCATGAAATCCTGCAGTGTTTGCCAGGTTTGTGGTTTCACCTTGCACAGGAGGTGTTTAGGAGTTGGTTTTATAAGTTTTCAGTTAACTAGTGTTCAGATTAGTTTGTGTGCACTTGATAGATACAGGGTCTTTGTAGTAATGACCACCACCCCACCCCACCCCACGTGCACAAAAAAAAAATGCAATTAAAAAGTGCTCTCCTGTCCCTGAACTCCTATGAGTCCATTTCAGTCCGGAGAGACATGATTCCTTCTCAGTTCTGCTGCCCTTTAGTGCCCTGGTTTGCAGGTCTTTTCCTCTACTTTCCATTATGATATTGACTTTGCTTTGCAGGTCAGTGGACCCCTACACTCAGAGAAGCAAGCCCCACCTGGAACTGTGTGGGAAGTAGCTGACTTTGAGCCAGAGCAACTGGAGACCCAGCACAGGGTTGTTCCTCAGGAAGAAGCTGGAAGCCTCCACTCAGGATACCAGGAACAGCTGAGCCAACAAAGAGAGTATAGGCCTTTACCCAAAAATGGTAAGAAGAATTCAGAGTACACCCAGATCAGAGACCATGTAGCCCTACATAGTATCCCAAAGACTATGGCTTGCTCAGTATAAGTACCTTTGATATCCATTTGAAAAATAAATTGAATACTTGTAAAGAAATTTTTCATCTGTTTAAAGAGTCAGGAATATGTGCTTACCAAAGTAAATTAGGATCATAAAGATGGAAATTAGGGAAACTTAGATTGCCCAGGGCAGCTCTGAATCTGGTCAGTTGTTTTAAAAATCTCCGCTCAACATTCACTTTATTCATGTGTGCTCTCAGCTGACCACAAGCAACTTGAAAAACTGTTGAGAAATGGAAACAAAATATTTTTATTCCAAAACTTGACTCACAAGATAAAGCATCCCAGAATGCTGTATGAAAGGGAGAAATGGTAAGATTTCCTAAACAAGGGATACCACACCTAACTGGTGTTCAAACAAGGGCAGCATCTAGCTGCCCTCCATGTGGATACAAGAAGTCAGATAGAAGGGAGAGAGCTGTCTCCCCAGCCCAGTTACCTTTCCATCTCCCAAAATGTGTCTTCACTTCACTTCACTTCACTTCACTTCATAGGCTAGCAGAGAGATCTGGAAAGAGCCTGTCTAAAGACTTCATTTAGTTCTTGTTTCCCCCCACACTGTGATCTTGGGCTGAAAGAGGCAAGCAGACCTGAGTTCATAACCCAGCTCTCCTATGTTTTATTTTTGTGGACTTAGGTTCTTTCTCAAACTTTCTATCCTCTCATCTGTAAAAGAAAAATAGCAAGGTCCTTAATGGGCCATGAAAAATAGCCAGTGCATGCATAATAGTGTTCAATAAATACTAATTTATTTTCTCTCATAATGGAAAAAAATATTTTTAAACTTCAGCTATGAGTCGAAACAGCTTTCACTGAAAGAAAAGATTCACAGTGGCTCTCTGCCGTAGCCAACCCTATATAAAAGAATGTTGTTGCAAATATTAGTGGACTCTGAATTGCCCCGTATTTCTTTGTATCAGAGCTCCCTTTATCATATGAGTTAGGTGGCTCCAGTAACTTTAAGTGAGAAACTTGGTGTGATAACAAATACCTATTCATAATGTTTCTGGACATTGCCATCTATGGTGATAATTTCAAAAGGATAAAAAAAAAAAGTCTGTTGAAGACTGAGGAAGGAGGACAGAAATTTGAGGGCTGGATAGCTCAGAAAGATAATTAACTATGAAGGAATGTGATAAACTTTTCAAAGACCATGATGTTTCCAAGAAAATTATTTGGGGACTGGTAAGATGACTTAGTGGATAAAAACACTTCCTGCCAAGCCTGATGACCTGAATTCAATCCCTATGGTGGAAAGAGAGAACCAATTCCTGAAAGTTTTTGTCCCCAACCTCCACATACAGACCATGGCACCCACATGCAGACAGACAGAAACACACACAAATACACATAATTTTAAGTGATTTTTTTTTACTTCTATAGAAAGGCGTAGCAAGGTTCTGAGCTCTGCTCACATGTAAATTACTCTTGAAGGTGAGCTCAAAGAAGGAGATAGACCATTGAGATTGCTGTATAAAAAGTTCTCTTTTCTCCTGCACTGAGAAGGTTATTTAAGAGCTCGTTATACCCATTGCTGTACAGTTTGCTGTGTTGGCAGGACTTAGCTGAGAACTAAATTCTCAGTTCTTAAACTATTAGTTTATGCTAGGAATGACAAACCGGTAACTTGTACATTAAGTAGGACTTGTATATTTTACCTACAAAGCATTTTTGTTTAGGATTTGGAGTTTTTGTTTTTGCTCTTTGTTCTAAAAATTTGATATCTCACAAAAGTCCCAGGTTTCTGGTGTCATATTTAGGGTTTCTGTTGCTGTGATGAAAACACCATGACAGAAGCAACTCAGGGAGGAAAGGGTTTATTTCACTTCCACTCCCACATCAAAGGAAGTCAGGACAGGAACTCAAACAGGACAGGAACCTGGAGGCAGGAGCTGATGCAAAGGCTATGGAAGGTGCTGCTTACAGGCTTGCTCAGCCTACTTTCTTATACCATCTATACCCACCTGTCCAGGGGTAACACTATCCACAGTGGGCTGGACCCTCCAGATCAGTAATCAATCAAGAAAACACCCCATGGGCTTGTCACAGGCCAGTGGGGGCAGACAGAATTTTCTCAATATACAGGTTCCCTCTTCCCAAATGACTCTAGCTTGTCAGGTTTAGATAAAAATGAGCCAGCACATCTGGCTTCTCTTGGAAACATCAGAAATGCTGAGTCTTCAAGTGTTACAGTCTCATGCTGAAGCACCATCTAGAGCCAAGCATAGGCTGTGCTCTTCAGTGGAGCATGCTCTCTCCCAGTCTTCTCCTCGTGCACTGGATTACCTGCTTGCTCCGGAAGCATTGAAGTTGTGAGCCCAGCATTAGGATAAGGTAGATTTGGGCATTGCTCTAAACTCATTGAAAAAATCATCCATTCCTATCTGTAGATTTTGATATGCTCTCACTTCTTTCTTTCTTTCTTTCTTTCTTTTTTTCTTTCTTTCTTTTCTCCCTTCCTTTCTTCCTTTCTTTTTTTCTTTCTTTTTTTGTTTGGAAACAGTGTTTCTCTGTTAGTGTTTTTTTGTGTAACAGACTGTCCTGGAACTCATTTTGTAAACCAGGCTGATCTCAAACTCATGGAGATCCACCTGCCTCTGCCTCCCAAGTGCTGGAATGAAAGGTGTGTACCACCACTGCCCAGCTGTGCTCTTGTTTATTAAAAGGAGAAGCAGCATGAATTAAAGCACCACAATTCAGACTACTGTATACCATAATTGTTTCTTCTCTTTTTCTAGCTCACTCTTCTCTCTGGGTTCCTGTCCCTCGTGATGAATGGAACACTGTAGATCAGGAGGTGACAACCCAGGTAATTTACTCCCAGGTTAATTGTAATTGTCCTCCTCCCTGGCCTTCCTTCTAGGGAATTCAGTCACATTTATTTCCCATGCTTTTACTAGCCTGCATTGTTTACACTTCTTCCAAAGAGATTTCTCTCTTCATTTCTTTTCCAGAAGAGGTTAGACTCAGTCTTCTCAGTAATGAACTCCTTGCTGGACCAGCTCTCTTACATTATCGCATCCTCATTATTTACCGTATCTTGCACTTACCTCGACACATGACACACATATTTCCTCTACTCAGTTCTTTAGGGCCCTCCTCTGCTTCATCCGTGGCTGTTCCTGATTTAAAGCCTTTGCAGTTGTCTTGGTAGTCACTGGTGTCAGTGTTGTTACAGGAACCAGTGAAAGATGTCCACACAATGAGAAGCTTGTCCTACAGAAAGAGTGTACATCAGAGTCCCACTCACAGGGATCTCCACCACGAAATCAGGAAGGAAAGTGCAGGGAGCATGGTTTCCCTGGGTAAGCATTCTTATATTTTAATTCCTACTGGTGATAAACAGTTGTAAATGTTAGTGCTTAAAGCAGTAGGTCTCAACCTGTGGGTCATGGCCCCTTTGGCAAACTTTTGTCTCTAGGTATTTGCACTATGACTCATAACAGTAGCAAAATTACAGTTATAAAATAGCCACAAAAATAATTTTATGGTTGGGGGTCACCACAACATGAGAAACTATATTAAAGGGTCACAACACCAGGAAAGTTGAAAACACTGGCTTAAAGAATCTCCACGGATCGTCTGCTGTAGTTACTTATCTCTTCCCTTTCCTTATTCATGTACTCTTTCCAAAAAGAACATTATAATAGTAGTTACAACACTGAACAGGAGTTGTATATGAATACCATATTTATAGTACAGGAAATACAAACTTACATCCACCAGCCTAAAGGTCTGTGAAGTCACCAGGTATTACTACAGTTTGTTTTTATTTAACAATAATGACCTCAACAGCTAACGTAGAGCTGCCTAACGGGTGGATCGAAATCTTAAATATTGAATAAAAAGTGATTTAAATCTAGTAACCTTGGTGAATTATTTAAGTAGACAAGTGTGAAGGCTTACATGACCACTATAGTGTCACTCTCCAGGCAAGTTTCCAGAGGACTGTCTCCATCTACTTCACAGGGGAGAGAAATAGTATTCATTCATGTGTGAGTTTTAATTCAAATGGCAAAGACTAATGAGTAATATCACAACCAGAACGGGGCGGGGGGGCAGCTCAGTCAGGAAAGTGCTTGGAAGCATGAAGACACAAATTTGACCCTTAAAGTCCACATTTGAAAAAGTGAGCGGTGGTAGAATGTACTTGTAAACCCATGATGGGGAGGCAGAGACAAGCAGATCCCAAGAGCTCACTAACCAGTCAGCGTAGCCTACCCAGCCTGACAGTGGTATACTTGATCCCCTAAAATATGAAAAAGGTGAACAAGGTAGGGGGATTGCTCAGTTGGTAAAGTGCTTGCTTAAGAACCTGAATTCAATCCTCAGTACCCGTGTGAGAGAGAGAGGGACGGAGAGAGAACTAAATGTAGTAGTACATTCATATAATCCTGGTCCTGGGAGTGAGGCAGACACAAGTGGATTCCTAGAATTTGTTGGCAAGCTAACCTAGCCTACTAGGTTAGTTACAAGTCAGTGAGAGAACTTCTCTAAAAATATAAAATAGAAAGCCAGGTGAAATGGCATAGTTTCTAAAACCCAGCTCTCAGAGGCAAAAGCAGCCAGATCTCTGAGTTAAGTTACAGGCCAGCCAGAGCTGCACAGTGAGACCCTGTCTCAAAAAAAGAAAAGAAAATGACAGTACTTAAGGAATGCCACCTGAGGTTTGCCTCTGACCTCTACACATATATACACACAGGTGCTCCTGCACACACATATACAAGGTTGGACTGTACCTGAAGAACAACACCTGGGGTTATGCTCAGACACACACACACATATACACACAGGTTGTTGATGCAAATGTGTACTGATACCAATTTTATAACCAATGGATATAGAGCATACATTATAAACACTATAATTCTGTACCGCCTGGTGAGTAACTGCTAGCCATACATATGTTTCAATTTTCAGTTTGTGGCTGGAGAGATGGCCTACCAGTTAAAGGCGCTTGCTGCTCTTCAGATGTGTTTGTTACCTAGCACCTACATGGTAGCTCACAGCCATATGTAACTCCAGTTCTAAGAAGGGACTACACATACATACATCTAGGTGTGCATGTGCACACACACATAAGATTTAAAAAATGAGTCTTTTAAAAAATTTTAAACAAGTGTTAAGTTTATTGCGTTAATTAAAATTTGGTGCAACTAAATTCCTTTGTAGCCATATTTAAGATATTCAGTTGCCATATAGAATGGCACAATTAATACTACACTCATCATCACAGAAAGTTCTACTAGACAATACTAAATATAATCGTTGAAGTTCAGAAATTAGGACCAGTGAGAAAACTCAGTGAGCAAAGGTATTTGTTGCTGAGATAAGCAATGGGAGTTCCATCCCAAAACCCACATGGTAGAAAAAGAGAACCAACTTCCAGAAGGTGTCCTCTGACTTCCATATCCATACTATCGTTCACAGACACTCACATACACACATACATTAATTAATTGAGTCATAAAATAATAAAAAATATAAGTACTGAGATTATAAAATAAACAATATAATAAATGGATAAAGGCAAATCAATAATTATCTTTTATTAAAAAAACAAATTTTTAAAAAATTACCAGTATAAAATATCACAGCATTGCCAGGCAGTGATGGAACACACCTTTAACCCCAGCACTCAGGAGGCAGAGGCAGGCAGATCTCTATGAGTTCAGGGCCATCCTGGTCTAAAGAGTGAGTTCCAGGACAGCCAGGGCTACACAGAGAAACCCTTTCTAAAAAAAACGCTATGTATCACAAAATTAACAAGGTGGTCCTCAAAAATTATCAGGCACCCTATTGTCTGCTTTGAGTCACTCATGAAATATGCCATTAGTGAAGAGGGACTATACTTTGAGAATTCCAGTTCAGCCTGTCTCCTTTATTATACAATTTCATATGAAACAACCCAGGCCCAGAGACACCTGCCCCAATCTTTTGTTGTAGATTGTAGATTAATTCGTTATGGACTAAATATGGCCTGTAGATATTTTGGTCTACATGATATTTTAGTTAAAGTTAGTGTAGAAAAATTTACATTTTTTTCTTAGAAATGAGACTTTAGAAACAGTCAACCCATCCTCCTGCATGGCAGTACTTGACCAAAACTATGCCAAAGGCTCAACTGCCATGGTTCCTGCTCTGGCCGCTCATTCCCTGCTTTGCCTTCCTAGAACTTCTGAGTACTTGAGCCTATGTGCCTCCTCTTTTACTTCTCTCACATAAGAAGTAAAGAACAAGTCTCCATCCCCAGTGCTTCTCAGAAAGGGTGTGATTTGATGGGCTTCTCTAGGAAAATCCTGCAAACTTTCTGTGTGTGCTATGTGGAGAAGAAAGCTAAAGTCCATTGCATACATACTGGATACTGTGTGGAAAACTGCACTAGTCTTTGAACAGATGGTGTTATTCCTCAGGATACAGTGAGGTTAAAAAACTTGCCCTCCAGCCTGGTGGTGGTGGTGCACACCTTTAATCCCAATACTCAGAAGGCAGACGCAAGCAGATCTCTGTGAGTTGGAGGCCAGCCTGGTCTACAGAGCTAGTTCTGGGACAGCCAGGGCTACACAAAGAAATCCTGTCTCAAAAAAAAAAAAAAAAAAAAGAAAGGAAACTTCCCCCCCACACACACCAAAAAGTGAAACAAGCTTTGAGTCAGCAGTGTGACTGAGATTCCCATTGGAGACACTTGCTCTTCTCAGGACTTAGAGCAGCAGGTACAATTTGTTTCATGTTCTTACTGTTTTTATTACATTGATAGGATGGGCTTGTTTGGAGTTTTGGTGTAGGAGGTCCTTCTGTTTATGTGTTGCTTTCACTGGTAAATCAATAAAGAAACTGCTTGGCCTGATAGAGCAGAACTTAGGTAGGCGGAGAAGACAGAACTGAATTCTGGGAGGAAGAAAGCAGAGTCAGAGAGCCGCCATGGAGCTGCCAGGTCAGACATGCTGAATCTTTCCCAGTAAGCCATGACCTCGTGGTGACATACAGATTAATAGAAATGGGTTAAATCAAGATGTGAGAGTTAGCCAATAAGAGGCTAGAGATAATGGGCCAGGCAGTAATTTAATTAATATAATTTCTGTGTGATTATTGTGGATGTAAGCTAGCCGGGCAACCAGGACAAAAAGCAGGCCCTCTTTCCATCAACAGAGTTTTTTAGTTAATGAAATGATTTATTTATTTTCAGTATTCACTAAACATATATCTGTACCAATTAAAAGTGAACTCTCAGTCATGTGATGGTGGCACACACCTTTAATCATAGCACTTGAGAGGCAGAGGCAGGTAGATCTCTGTGAGTTCGATGTCAGCCTGGTCTACAGAACAAACTCCAGGACAGTCGGGGCTTTGGGGGGGGGGGTGAACTCATTGATTATTTTTCCACTTCATGAAAAAGAAAGTAGATTGTAGTTTCTTTTGGATAGAGAAAGGCGTTTGATATGACTCAGACCCTGAAGCTAAATTATAAGGTTTATCTTCCCTCCTCTTAATCTCTTTAAGCAAAACGGTTTCACATTGTTTATTTGATATATCTACACCAAAGTTTTTGTTTGAATATTTGTTTCTTCTGCCAAATTTTTCCAAACTTTTATTGTATAATTGGCAAATAAAACTTTATAAAATTAAGATGTGAAATTTTATTATTTTATATACATTATGCAGTGATGACCTCAATTAACACACCATACCTTACATAGTTAACAGGAAGGATACTTAAAATCTACTCTCAGCTAGTGACAAATCTGAAGTACACTATTGTAAGCTATGGGCATCACTAGATCCCAGAATGTATCCTGTATATAGCTACAATTCGTTCTTTATATGTACCTGTATTGCCTACCTCAAACCGTGCAGAAACCAGTAGAAACCACTATTGTATTCCTGTATATATTGGGTTTTTTTTTTAAGATTCTACTTAAAGCTCAGATAGTATGATAATTGTCTTTCACTATCTGGCTTATTTCACATGATGTAATACACTCTGAGTCCAGGATATCTAAAAATTTTAGATATAGAACTCATTCTTTCTATAGTTCTCTTTTCTTTTTTCCATTTTACAGATTTTCACATATACTTTATTATTACTTTTGTGTGTATGAGTATTTTGCCTACGTGTATGCCTATGCATCACCTGTGTGTCTAGTGCTCACTCAGGGAGGATAGAAGAGAGCATCAGATACCCTGGAACTGTAATTATAGGCAGTTGTGAGCTACCTTGTAGGTGCTAAGAATCAAATCCAGGTCCTCTGGAAGAGTAGCCAATGCTCTTAACCACTGAGCCATTTTCAAATACTCTTTATTCATCCATTGATAAAAAATTTTTGTTTATGCCATAATTTTCCTTAGGTTTGTAAATTATGTTCCAGTGAATTCCAGAGTGCTGGTGCCTCAGATGTAATTTGGTTTCCTTTACAAATATATACAGAAGTGAGAGAGCTGGGGTGCATGACAGTTGTCCCAAGTAATTTTTCAAGTTCATTTTTCAAGTTACATCCATACTGTTTTCCACAATGGCTGGATGAGTATACATTCCCACCAACAGTACATAGGGTTCATTTTCTATACATCCTTACCAGCACTTACTATCTTATCTTCTTGATGCTAACCATTCTAACAGATGTGAGGTCATACTCATTATGATTTTGTTCTTTTCTGTTAATGATGTTGAGTGCCTTCTCGTGCACTTGTTGGTCATTTGCACATCAGATTCTTTGCCCATTTTTATCAGCTGTTTTTCTATGAATTATATGGTTCCTTGTACATTTTAAATTTCAACCTTTTACAACATATATGGTTATAAGTATTTTCCCTAGACTGAAGGCTGTTTCTTTACTTTGTTGATTATTTTTCTTGCTATGCTAAAGCTTTTATTGCCTCTTTCGTTGTTATAGCCAAAAAAAAATTTTTCCAAGACTAGGGTCAATTACCTTTTTCCCTATGCTTTCTTTCTTCTAGGACTTTATGGTTGCAGGTCCTATGTTTAGGTCTCATGTATATACATGCATGTGGGGGAGTACAGGGTGTTTGTGTACATATAAAGGCCAGTGGCCAGTGTCTGGTATCTTCTTCTGTTGTCTTCCTCCATACTTTTTGAGGCATGGTCTCTCACTTGCCTGTTGCCGTGTTCCTTGCAATGGTGGTCATGGACTCTAACCCTCTGGGTTGGTGTCCATGGTGCTGGAGCAGTAGCTGAGAGTTTATATCCTGGAGATCCTTCTGCTGGGATTGCAAGCACATATCACCAAGCCTGCCTTTTTCATGGATGCTGGGGATCAAACTCAGGTCCTTATGATTATATAGCAAACACTTTACCAACTGAGCATCCTCTCCAGCCCCACATGCATTTAATGCATTTCAAGTTAACTCTTGAAAGTAGTATAAGATAGTAGTCCAATTTCACTCTTGTACATGTAGATACTCAGTTTTCTTAGCACCATTCATTGAACATACTTTCCTCTTCCCTTATCAAAGATTAGTTGACCATATGTGGATGGATTTATTTTAGGGCTGTCTATTCAAGTTTACTTTCTTTGTTTTATGGAAATACCAGACTTTGTGATTAATATAGCTTAATACAAATTCTTTACTTCACTAATAGCCCCAGTTGTGTATTGTGTGCATGCATGCATGGGTGTGTGCATGTGTGTATGTGTTGGGGCACATATATAAGTAAAATGAACAAATACTAAGTTAGCTGTGGTGACTCTGGGACTACACCCTAGCACTCGGGAGACTGAGGCAGAAGGATTGTTATGAATTTGAAGCCATCAGTGAGTTTCAGGCTAGCCTAATCTACAGTGTGATATAGTGTCATCCAAAAGAAAGAGTCAAACCTAGAGAAATATGTCTTACTGTTGAGAGTATTCCTGAAAGAATTAACTAGATAAAAGCAGTATATACATGAGAGTAAGATAGCATTTCTAAATTTCTGTGCTTAAAGACATCATGTAAATAACTACTGTGTGCACGGTCCTGGCTGAGGAATGCTGAGCTGTAAGCAAAGAGTCCAGGAGAGCTTGCTTCAACAGGAGATTGGGGTGTGTAGTAATGACAACTGTGCCTACTGTGAAACATGTTTCTCTTACTGTAGGAGGCACTGTGTCTACATCTAACAAGATAGCCCAGTTGGAACAGAGAAAGGAACCGTGGGCTGTAGGTCTCCATTCCTCAAATAAGAAAAATAGTGTTCTGACAAGCAACTACATCAAAGAGAAATCAGTGCATGCTGTTCAAGTCCCGGCAAGGAATTCAGGGAAAGTGTGGCGAGAACAGCAACAGTGGGGTTTAGAAGATGAAAAAATTGCAGGTGTACACTGGAGCTATGAGGAAACCAAGACTTTTCTTGCAATTCTCAAGGAATCTCGCTTTTATGAAACACTCCAGGCTTGTCCCCGAAATAGCCAGGTATATGGTGCTGTGGCTGAATGGTTGCGAGAATGTGGCTTCCTTCGAACACCAGAGCAGTGCCGGACCAAGTTCAAAAGTCTTCAGAAAAGTTATCGAAAAGTGAGAAATGGCCACATGCTAGAACCCTGTGCCTTCTTTGAGGACATGGATGCCTTGTTAAACCCTGCAGCCCATACTTCATCTACTGATAAGACAAAGGCCGTGATCTCTCTCCCCAGACTAAAGAGCATTGGCATTGGTGCTAAAGAACAGGTCAGTTTGGTGGAGGAGGAGGAAGAAGGCGCTGAAGACTCCGATGGTGATGAAGTGGGTATTGAGTTTACACGCAAGTCTGAAATTCGTTCTGCCCCTGTCTTATTTCAAAACCTAAGTGGTAAGAATTATGCTGGTTTTTTTTTTCTTGGTGTGAAGATAGAAGTGTTTCCTGTGGAGAGTGTCGTAGATTAGACTAATCCTGGGGAGGGTTATCGCACTCGATGCTGCTTTCACTATGATATTGCCCCACAACTAAAAGGGCACGTAGGTGTTTGTTGCTGTCCCTAGCACAGCCTGAGTAACAACTCTGAGAAGCCTGCAAGCTCTTATTCAAGTTAGAGCTAAACATGCATTTAAATATTCAGTGGTCAGGGTATAGAGATGACTCAGTGGATAAGAGCACAGGCTTCTCTTACAGAGGATCCACGTCCAGCTTCCAGCATTCACATGGTAACTCATAACCATTTGTAACTCCAGTTCCAGTGAACCCAACACCCTCTTCTGGCCTTTGGGCACCAGACACACAGATGCAGACTTTCATATATATACATGTCATAAATCATATTTATTATATACCTTCCTATGGAAGGGATATCATAAATCATATTTATTATACCTTCCTGTGGAAGGAAGGTAAGTGGAGCTAAAGAGTTCAAGTGTCTAATATTATTTGAGGATTAGTATAACCAGTTGTATTAGTTTGTAATAGATGAAGGATATCTTATTAGTCCATACAGTATGGCCAGTTACAAAACAGTGTAAAGGAGAAGAGGAAATGAAATACAAACTTTATTCTGTCCAATTTAAAAGGCAAGAAAGAAGAATAAACAGAACACAAAACAGTGAGTCACATAAAAGTAATAGGAAGAGCCAGGCCTGGTGGCACACCAGCTATAACCCCAGAACATGGGAAACAGAAACAGCAAGAGTTTGAGGCCAGCCTGAACCATATAGCAAAGCCCCTTCTCTAAATAAATAAATACAGAAACATATGTCTTGGTTACTTTTCTGTTAATCTAAAGAGTTTGTTGGGGCTCACAGTTCCAGAGGATTAGAGTCCATGACCAGCATGGCAGGGAACATGGCAGCAGGCAAGCAGTCTCGGTGCTGGAGTAGTAGCTGTGATCTTACATTTTTATCAGCAAGTAGAAAGGGGGGGAGAGACAGAGACAGAGAGAGAACTCTAAACGGGAAAGGTGTGAACTTCTGGAATCTCAAAGCTTTCCCCCAATGATATGCCTTCTCTAACAAAGCCATACCTCCTAACCTTCCCAAACAGTTCCACTAACCATGGGGGCATTCTTATTCAAACTGCCATATCCTGGCCCCCATAGGCTTGTTGCCATATAATAAAATGCATTTAGTCCCCATAATCTTTCAGTCTCAAAAGTATTTAAAAGTCCAGAGTCTCTTCTGAGAGTCAAGGCAGTCTCTTAATTGGAACCAACTGCAAAAAAAAAAAAGCATGTTACATACTTCCAACATAGAATACCACAGAATATATATTACCATTCTTAAAGGACGAATGGGAGCGTAGTGAGGAAATACTGGACCAACACAAGACCAAAACCCAGCAGAGCAAACCCCTAGTCTTGTAGTTCTGTGTCCAATGCTAAAAGCCTTTCATGACTTTTCCCTTCCAGCTTTGCTAACTGGAAACATTTCTCTTTTTTTGAGCTGGTATCATTCCCCATATGCAGCTCTCCCTGGCAGACATCCCATGACATTGGTACCTCCAACATCCTGGGGTCTCTAACACAATCCAGTCTTCACTTTCACAGCTTCACAAAGTGACTTTTCTGCACCTACGTGCAAGGACTCCCCTGCCATATGCCTGTCCCTAATGGCTTTCCTTAACTGGGGAGGAAGATTCACAGCCCCTTTACTACTATATCTTTCATGACTCAAAAGATAGAATCCTGTGGCTGAAGTTGCCAAATACTACTGCAAACTTGGGGTGGAATCTGGACCTCCTTAAATTACATTTGCATAAGTTTTGATTTATTGCTTTCATTTGTTCATAAGCTTTCCTTTGTTTCAGAAGCAGAAAAATCCTTGGCATTTCCTTTTTACAAGCTGGAAGCTTAGCTGAATGGGGTGTTGTCCTGTGGACACTATTCTTTATTCCATTTCACATCAGGCCTGTCTTTAAAGTTCTCATCTCTTAGAATGCAAGATTTGGCTCCAGCATTAAATTTCCTGTTGCTTTTCTTCTCCTCAGATTGTACAGTTTGTATTTCTTTTTGCTCTGCTTGCTCCTTTTCATCATAGACCCTCATAAAAGTGATTACTAGTAATCACATGATACAGTAAGTATTAGGCTACCCTGAAATCTCTGCCAATACATACTCCAAAACTCTTCAGTTAGCCTTACACAGATTCTTAAGACAAGGGCAAAAAGCAGCCACATTCTTTGCAAAAATATCATAATTATGGTTTCTAGCTCAATGGTCTCTAGCTAATAATTGTTCCCCTCTAAAACCTCCTGAGTATACAAGCCTCCATGGTATACATAGCTGTCAACACACAACTCTTCCATATTCTTACTAGGATAGCCCATTAAACCTCACTTACAGCATTCAACCACTTCTCTAGTCCAAAGTTTTCCACATTTCTTCAAAAAACTACACAGTCAGACCTGTCACATCAATACCCTGTTCCGAGACTAATCTGGCTTAGTTCCATCAACTGGGATCCAGGCATTCTCTGTGGGAGTCTATGGGAGCCATTCTCATTCTGATAGAAATAAATGTAAATATATCACTAATTACAAATTCACTGAACCAAGATTAACACATTACCAAAAAAAAAAAAAAAACTACACACCCCTCATCATAGGAGATGAACCGTCTATAGAAGACAGGTATTAAAGTAAAAGAAGATTAGGCCTGCTGCTGCTAACCTATAATCCCAGCACTCAGGACCTGGCAGGATTGTAAGTTTGATACCAACTTGAACTACACAGTGAGATCTTGTTCAGAAATAAAGAAAGAAAGAAAGGAAAGAAAGAAAGAAAGAAAGAAAGAAAGAAAGAAAGAAAGAAAGAAAGAAAGGAAAAGAAAAGATGCACCATACGAACCTACTGTTGAATATTTGGAGACCAAAACACACAGAATTAAACAACCAGTTAATAACTCTTTGACAGTAGCTGCATCATGTAACAATACTGGGTTTCAATTTTCCCCGGTGGAATATATGAGTAGGAACTCACAGGGCTGTTACTGGTGTTCAGCAAGACATAACAGGTAAAGGTACTCTTAAAAGGCTAAAATGCATCACTCTTATTACTGATGTCTTTCCTAGTTCATTGTAATCAAGGTGATAAGTTCATCAATAAAATGGAAAACTAAATCAGGCTAGGAAAACCGGAAGTGTGTTCATGAGGATGTGTGCCTAAAATAAGCAGATCTGCTGACAAATGGGAGGATCGTCATGCCTACACAGGTGTTTACAAATCTGAAAACAGGAGGATAAGGCTCTTGGGTATGGTCTCAAGTGTAGGAGTTCATTGATGGAACTGGAAGTATCCAGTAAATATTGAGGCTAGCAACTACTTTTTCCAAAACAGAAAGCATGTTTAACAAACTACTAAGAAAAGTTGTATTCTGCTGTCTGTGCCATACAGACTATACTCTGTCTCGAATTAGAAGATTAGATGAGTTATCAGACTTAGAACTACTTGGACATGACTCTGATTTTCAAGGAAAACTAGTAAAAGAATTAGTAGGAGATTTCAGGCTGTTCTTTGGGGGTTGTAATCCAGTGTTCTGAATGAACTACATGGAAAAGACACTCTAGGTGGCTAAGTGCTTCAGTTAGTCTCCATAGCAGTGGCAGTGTGGAAGACCACTTCCTCTTCCAATTAAACTGCTGCTTTTGGGATTTGCCTATTCATTTGAAATCAATATCTGTGCAACTTGAGTCTTTGTAACTAGAAACATGGCATCTCACTTTTTCTAGTTAATCTTTGAATAAAGAATTACAGATTTTTTTAAACATAGACTTTACTGTGTTTTACAAAGTTTGTTTCTGTATATTCCATATTTCCTGTTGCTATCGTGAGTAAGACTTTAATTATAATTTTCTTTGTCCTTGAGAAGTTCATACATATATGCAATGAAATATAATCATATCCACCTCCATTTCCTTCCAACCCCCCCCCAACTCACCATCCAAACTTCATGTATTTCTTAACTACCCATCATTTATTTATGAACACACTAAATCCAGTAGGTGTTCCCCATGCGTATGTGGGTATGGGGCCATCCCATGAAGCATGGGTAACATACCAGTGGGAACACTCAAAAAAGAATAGTTCTTCCTCCAGAAGTTGTCAAGTGCTACATACATACACACACACACACACACACACACACACACACAAATGCATACACACACACACAACCCTATGCTAGAGTTTTGGATGGCTGTGTAGAGTTTCTGTAGCCATACCTGCTATGAGTTTGTGAGTACACTATCATGTCCAAATGATGGTGTTTCACAGTTTTTCTCCCAGAATAGGGCTTTTCTATCATTTATAGTGTGTGTAATAGAGAAGCTCCAGCCTCTTTATATCTTTAAACTTTGTCCTTGAATGGCAGGTGTGCACTGGGGCTATGAAGAAACTAAAACTTTTCTTGATATCCTTCGTGAGACTCGGTTTTATGAAGCACTTCAAGCCTGTCACCGGAAGAGCAAATTGTATGGAGTTGTGGCTGAACAGCTTCGCGAGTGTGGCTTTCTCCGGACCCCAGAACAATGCCGGACCAAGTTCAAAAGCCTTCAGAAGAGTTACCGCAAAGTGAAGAATGGCCATGTACTGGAGTCCTGTGCATTTTACAAGGAGATGGATGCCCTCGTTAACTGCCGAACGTCTGCCCTTTCCACCAACACCTCAGAAGAAATCCCACCACTCTCAAGGCAAGAAAGAGGACACATTGAGGTTGAACCCCAGGAGCCTACAATCTGGGAACCTGAAGAGACCTCCCAGGAAGCAGTGTTAGAAGATTCTAGCAGTGAGAGAATGAGTGAGGAGGAAATTATAGAAGAGCCAGAGTTCCAAGAACCTACAGACTTACCTCAAAGCCTCACAGGTAAGGGTCAAAGTCGGGGAGAAAATGTGACTTCTTGAAAAACCAGCACACCTGGCACATGGCTCATGCGTGTTGATTCACTCAGATATTTGGATGCCGTTTGCTGTTAGAGAAACAGGAAGTAGAACTGAGTAAAGTGGGTCCTGTTCTTGTGGTCCTTTCCTTCCACCCTACTTACATTCTGTTGACTCAGGTTTGGGGACTTTAGCATTAGTTTCTGTCTTGGTGGTCAGGCAGTGTTTCTAGAAATACTTTAAAGAAGAATGTGAGATTCTACCCTTAAAAAAAAAAAACTTGGAGGAGGAAGGTCAGTAAGCTCAAATCAGAAGCATTTCACTGCTGTGTAGTGTGCTTGAGGAAAAGGATGGGCAGGGACAAGATGAGAAGATTTGTCCTGGTCCTGAGCTCAGCAGCCTGCTCTTGCCCATTGGCTGTCCTCACTGGCATCTAACTGCCAGCTCAAGCATTAAATGTAGTAAACCCCACAAGTGCCCTTTAAAGCTCATTTTCCAGCCTCCTCACTCAGCATTTACATCCAGGCAGATGACATTACTTGCCAAGTAGACTGTTAATTCTGCCTACCCCTGCTTTCATTGTCATAGATAGCCATTATTCTATTCCATCTTTCTCTGTTTCTTGCCTAGACTATAAAAGTCTCAAACCCTAATTTTCTCAACCATACTTTTTAAGCGGGGAGGGCCCCAAGAGAAAGGTCCCAACTGTAGCCTAAACTGGTCTGGAACTTATGATCTTCTTGCCTCTAATTCTTGATTTCTGGGATTGCAGGCATGCGCCATCCTGCCCTGCTTATCACTTACGTTTTGATTGAGTCATCTTTAATCTGGGCTCATCCTATCATTCACGGCATATGTGCTAGTATTTTCTCTCTCTATGCTTTCCTGAAATAAAACTTCTTGCTGTGTTCTACATGCTCCGTAAGCTTTCTCATATCTAAGTCACGGTTCATGATCTCTCCCGAACCACCCACACCTTGAACATATTCAGATCTACACATCTGTGTATCCAAATTCTTTCAACTCCCACACTTTATCTTATGGTACCAAACACTTTGATGTCCTAAAACCAACCTCCCAGGCAGCAGCACACTCCTGAAGGATGGGAACTCTGTCTCTGTAGCCACAGGATATGTCAGAATGTGAAGCATTTCACACTGACTTGTTCAAGCCAATGTTTCTGCTTTGCCTGAATTAGTTGTAGAGGCCCATTAAGAGGAGCTAATGTCCAGCCAGTTACAGCAGAGCAAGGACTTCATACATATGCTGTCTGGTGATATTTATATGAGAAATCATAAAGAGTAAATCTAACCAGGTTTGTTGGCACACACTTTTAATACCAGTACTTGGGAGGCTGAAACAGGCAGATCTCTTGAGTTTGAGACCAGTCTAGTCTACAGAATGAGTTCCAGAACAACCAATGCTACACAGAGAAACCCTGTCTCAAACAAGAATAGTAAGTCCAATATAACTTCTTTCTTTAAATGTTATTTATTTATTTTTATTTTGGGTTTTTTTTCCCCTCATGTACCACATGTACATGCCTGGTAACCACAGAAGCTGGAAGAGGGTGTCAGACCCCTGGAACTAGAGTTACAGATAGTTGTGAACCATAAACCCTATTCATCTGGAAAAGCAACCCAAGTCCTTAACTACTGCATCATATCCCAAGTTCCAACTTCTTTTTTAATAACTGTGAAAAGAATACCGGTGAATATTATTTTAGGTGACTTTCAGAATGTAATAAAATTACCAGTTACTGTCTGAGTCAACTAATAGGTTATAACTTCTCTAAATCCCAGAACAATATTGAATCCAATAATAAAACCTCAAAAGGAGTACTAATGAAAAGTAACATTACTGTAGCTTCTTATATAAGTTAATGAACTGACTGTTGACTGCCTTCTCTTCCTCACCCATGCCAAAGCTAGTCCTCTAACCAGCAATTTCACTTGAATATGTGGAAGGGAAGTCAGTTGATACCTACAAGTAAGAACAAGATGTTATAGTATGTACTTAATCACAAAGATTTGGGGGATCAAAGCTAGATTTAGCCCAAGATAGTCAGCTTGTGAGATATTTATGAAAGACAATAATATGTATTTTATAATTTGCATCAAAGTGTCTGGATAGAGACCAGGAAATGTATGGGAATAGAGATGACACTGGACTAGCCATAAATAATAAATCATTGCTAAAGGTAAGTAAATAGTTCATGGGAGTTCTTTATACAAATTACACTGTTAATTCTTCTGTGTGTGTGAATTTCCCATAATTAAAAGTTAATAACAAAAACGCAGTTAACTAGTGACCAGGATGTTGCTAGAACCAAACTATGTCATTACAAAGCTTCTGGCTCTTCACTATGTCATGCTTTCCATAAAATCCACAGAGAAGTGGAATCTAAGATGTACTTTATAGTGAATGGGGTGTAATGAAAATTTAGCTTTGGAAGTATTATAAAGGAGTATTTGTATTATTGTGGTCCATGAGGTAACCAGAAAAACCAGCTACAAGATCATATGGGGAAAATAGTACCCTAGGCTAGAATCTGACTAGCTATTGAAGAATTAGAAATATCTTGAGGAATTTGGAGTTGTCCATTAGAAAATATTCAAATAAGGTATAGTGTAATATTTTAGTGTAGGTGTGAAAGAAGGAAAATAGAATGGTTTACAACTTCAGAGAGATAGACCAAGTTGTTGCTGAGTTAATAAGGATAAGATGAGGAAAGGTACCTTGGATAGCAATTCAGTTCAAAACAGTTCTGAGAACCAACATGGTAGCAAATGTCATTGGCCTTTTTATAGAACTGAAAGAGGCTAAAGCATGGTATATCAGTAAGTCACAGTGTGTAGCCATAAACATTAGAGGATCATAACCATTGTAGGCATGATTAATTATTAAATTATTTTTGTTAATGTCTGAGTTTTGTGAAATTTTACTGTTTTTTCCTTTTCCAGATTTTGAAACTGGAAGTAGTATTAAGGAGGATCCAACACAGGTAATATTTAAGAACAAAGAGCCCCACGGGGCATTAATAGAAAAGTCTAAAGGATTTGTTTTAAATACCAACCCCAGTAGATATTGTAAAAGGGAATACATCTCAGGAAGACAATGGGAAAACCTCCAAGGAATTAGACAGGGAAAACTGATGTCTCAACCTAGAGACATAGGGAAGGCTACTGTGCAGCAGAGGCCTTTTGTGGGAAGGAGACCATACAGACTTCTCAAATATGGAGAGAATTTTGGAAGGGGTGCTCGTCTTCTGTGCAGGATGACCCACCAGAAGGAAAACCCTCATAAGTGTGGTGTCTGTGGGAAGTGCTTTGGTAGAAGCAGGAGCCTAATCAGACACCAAAGAATCCACACAGGAGATAGGCCTTTCAAATGTCTTGACTGTGGGAAAAGCTTTAATGACTCCTCAAATTTTGGAGCCCACCAGAGAATCCACACTGGAGAGAAGCCGTACAGATGCGGGGAGTGTGGGAAAAGCTTCAGTCAGAGCTCAAGTCTTCTCATCCATCAGAGAATGCACACTGGAGAGAAGCCCTATCAGTGTGGAGAGTGTGGGAAGAGCTTCACCAACAGTTCTCACTTCAGTGCCCACCGCAGAGTCCATGCTGGAGAGAATCCCTACAAATGTGGGGACTGTGAGAAGAGCTTCAATAACTGCACACGATTCCGAGAACACCGGAGAATCCATGCTGGAGAGAAGCCTTATACATGTGCCCAGTGTGGCAAACATTTCAGTAAAGGCTCTTTCCTCACCAAACACCGGGAAGTCCACATGAGAGAAAAACTACTGCCATACTCTCCCTCTGGGTACTCACCAGAGAACCTGCTGAGGGGGAAGAGTGATGAATTCAGGAAGACCTTTTGACAATGAGCTCCTTTTTCCACACGCCCCTTTAGCCATCTTACCCTACTCCTCCCATTCTTTGAAGCAGTCTTTAGTTAGCTATAAATTGCAGTTCCCAAGACAGGCCTGAGAATATAAGTAAGCTAAATTATTTCCTCTACCCTCACCTCATGTCCTAACATGCTCAGATTTATTGCCTCTCTCCTATGAATCTTGACTTTCAGTAAGGTGAGAGAATAAGTTTTGGGTTTTGTTGGTTTTTTTTTTCTTTTGAGTTGAGAATAAAATTCCCAAAAGAATGTTGAGGCTAATGCTATTGTCCAGCAACTTTCAAAACTCTTGCACGTGGGTGAGAGTTCTTTTCAAATATATGAATGGTGAAACATTTTATAGTGTTATCACCCATATGAGATCTTAGCAGCAACTTGACAATGGATTTTTATGTCTGGGTAGAACTTTTAGGAGTTTGATTAAAACTATATCAGATCAATATTGGTTTTGAGGGTATAAAACAAGAGTGAAAGTTTTATAGCATCCTTCAGAAGTCTGCATTAGAAAGTTGATCCTAATTCCCTATGTTGCTGCTGAAGTCATGTTGCTAATACCTTGTCCCCCACCAAGAGAAGCACTTACTCACCCTTCATCTCCCTCTCTGTTCCTGAAGACTTAACTCCAGTGGCTGCTGCTTCTCCATGGACCAGTAGTCGTTCATTGTTCATCACAAGTCTATACTTACCTCTTAATTGTTCTAGGTGCTCTAGCCTGACCTTTTTAGACTACCTTGACCCATTCAAATGGGAGGGGATGCATGGTAGTGCTGTCTCATTAAGAGAAAATCAGACTTCAGAGTCTAGTTCTACCCTATCAGTTCTCTGACTCTTAACCTATAAGAAGACCTATTGATACGCTAGCATATTTTAAACTGCCTAGCTCTACATTTCAATGTCATATAATAGTATTTCTGAAAGTTTAAGATTGTAAGGAAGAAGGATGTGAGACCTGAAATATTTAATGGACTATTTAGGCCTGCTTTAAATCAAAGAGCTACTACCTCAGTCCAGACTATATTTCCAGGGTTGACATCACATGTACTAGCCTCTGGTTCTGAAGCTTCTAGTTCCTGTTATTAGGATCATAAACCTGACTAGAGAGTCCTAAATCATTCCACATCTCTGTGGTTCACTCAGTGAAGGTAGAGCTGGTTATAAAGTTCCACTCCAGAGAATCACCTTATTTTCCCCATTTCTCTCCTCACCTGGGGGAAATGTCTTTGATAACCCCTGGCATTAATCAGCTAAATATTGCCCGAAACTTTCTGGTGGGTAAATAGTTAACTCATAGAATTACAGATGAAATTCAAGAATTTGATCTTCCCAAACCAGTTACTTGAAGATGAGGCCTGTGGCATTCATACCTTTAATACATAGGTAACCCAGTGTAGCTTTGCTTTGGGGAGGAAGAAGTCCCAAGTATAGTAGAAGGAGAACCATAGTCAGGGCTCTTGCTAGGTTGTGCTCATGTCAGATGCTCTCTTGTTTGATAACATCTAGAGATGATATTTGTGTGAGTATATTTGAATCTTTTGAAACCCATTCAGCAAAGTATCAAAGAGGGTAGACACTAGAAAGAAAAGCACTTTATGGTGCCAACATAGGATGTAGCCTGTTGGAAGGCAAGTGACTCAGGTAAATGCTGATAACTGTTTGTGATGTGTGTTTGTTGGAAATGTTATAATTGTTGACACCTCAGTAGCTTATTTCCTGTGTATTGTCTGAATTAGAGACTTCTAATGGTACATGCAGCTTCATGTTGGTGCTCTGCCTAGACCAGTAAGATTGTGTGGTGCCAGTAGGCTTGTGCTTATAATTGTGTAGATGTTCTGGAATTCCAGCTCTAGAAAAGATGCACATTAGTATAAATTGCCACTTAGTAACATGTACACAGGATTGATACTTATGTGGAAGCATGATTCAAAAAGTAGATGGCTTGTTCACCAATACTTATATACTGTTATATAGAAGACCATGTTGTAACCTCAGAGAGGCATACAAAATGATGGGGACCATGTGGCTGTCCTCCAGCAAGGAAGTATTCCAGCAAAAAATAATCTAGTTAAGTCCTTGGTGATGTGGATGGTCAGTCACCTCATCTGGATTTTTGGTAAATTACAAATAGAAAACCAGTTTGAGCACCACTTTTTGATACATTTTCCCAGCAACAGGAAAGATCCAGGGCCTATTCTGTCTCCACCATGACAAAGTGATTGTCTCCTGTGTCTAAGATACAGCTAGGTAGGTTTGTGTTCTCCTACCTGTAATCCTAATCTTAAACAATCTGTTAGGATGTGTGTTAATCTTGTGGTCCTTTTCTCAGTTCTTAAGAAACAGATCTTTCTACCATCTTAGACCAAGGTGCTTGTGTGTTTCTCTTTTGTCAACCAATGCATGAAAGTTAGGATGAGTGATCACATCCTGAGTAATACATCTTTATCACAACTCTGTAATGATCCATAGATTTCAATACCAAGGACTTCAAGGAAGAAAACAGGTCTTTTTTTTTAAATCTTAGAAACACTGTGATTTTTATAACTTGCTGCTTCGTTGCTCTGGATGCTGGAAATCTCGACAGAACAGTTCACCTCAGCCAACTACCTACACCTATTTATTTTACTCTGTCATATTTTTTGGGAGCTTGTCTCAAGTCCTATTTTTGAACAATGGTATATGTATAAACAGATTCTTTATTTTCTGGCATTCTGGCAAAGACATTTTAGAAACTGTGTTTGTATTTCCTGCCTAGGCTTTCATTAATTTCCACAAATACCTTGCTAATTCTTACTGATGATTATGCTACATTTTCAGCCTAATTCTTTCACCTGGAAAGAAACATGTTTTTGTAAAGATGAAAACTCATGCATTAAATAGATCAGGGCTTCCTGCCACCAAGGAATGTGTATTAGATCAGAAGCCAAAAGAAGTTTGGTATTGTTACTACTTCCTGAATTTCGTTGGATAAATCACAACTTCTCTTTCTGAGTAGTTAATTGCCAAAATTTCAGGAGTGCACATGTTCATGAAGCCATGGAACATCATAGAAATGAAATGAAAGAAATAGAAAGGCCAGATTCTTACCCACTGTATGCCACCTCTGGGCCACATTGAGTCCATCTCCTGGTTTAAGAAGATGATAGCAATGCCAGCCCAGCTTGCTTAGTAAGGAGGAAGGACAAGCCACTTGTGTTCAGTAACAGGAAAACTTCCCTCTCCCTATCACCCTGCAAGGCAAAGGTGGATAGGTAGATTGGAGAAAGTACTTTATGAGTTCTGGCGCTCAGTGACAGACAAGATACATGGATTAGGAAAACCCCTGTGGAAGGAGCAGCTCAGTGATTCGTGTGGTCCAAAGCCTCCATCTCCACCTGAATGCATTCGAGGAGCAAGTGTAAATGGACATCTGTCTTCGTTCTGTATTAATGTTCGCTTAGATGTCTTCTTGAGAGCTTGTATGTGGAATGTCTAAAATAAATGACTATCTTTGATTTGCTACAATGTGAAGGATGTCTTTATTTATAAAAATGAATATTTAAGAAGTTCAAGGCCAATCCTTAACTAGTAAAAAGAACTTGAGTTCCATGCCAGCTCACAGCTGCCCTCCATAACCAGCAGGAAGAGACATGTGAATTCATATATAGCAGTCCTCCAACTGCCATTGCTGTTATCCCAAACAATAGTTTGCTTTAATTCCATGGTAAAACTGATGTTGGACAGACATACTACATGTGCATCTACAAGAGTCGCATGCCAGATTAACTGGAAGAGATCCTAGCTGTTTCCCTAAAGCTACAGTTGTAGAAAATGAAGACTTATTCTCTTAGTGTCTCCTGCTGGGCCTGAGGGGTAGAATGTAAAACAGATGGCAGAAGAGCAACAGTATGTGGGAGGGTCTTCCAGATAAAGGCCCCAAAAAGTAACAAAGCCTGAGTGCTTGTCTACCACCCAGAAGAAACAGGGTACTGATTCAGCAACATCACTAGGCTGGGAGAGCCACAGGGAGACACATGGTTTTGACAAGATCTGTGTAGAAATCTCTCAGCCCCAATTCTTCATCTCTCATCTTGGTGAGGGGAGCATCCTTTGCATAGGTAAATCTTTCACTCCTCTTCTGGAAGAATTGTCAGAACACTCCCCTTTGCACTAGCTGTTTCCCACGTGCTTTTAGCCCAAAACATCCTATGCAAAAAAGGATGCTTTTCTTTTTTGGTGGAAAATTCTGTCATTCTTTATAGTATTGCACTTTTTTAATTTGGAGGATGGAAGACAAGGTCTATGTAGCCCAGGTTTGCCTCAAACTCTTAATTCTCCCTCCTCAGCCTAGTGTTGGAACTACGGGTGAATGCTACCAAACCTTTCACAGTCTTGCTCTTGACCACTGCTTTGATAGAAGAGTTTTGTGGTTTCCATTAGCCTTTCTCACCATAACAATCATGATCAATGTAGAAGGTCAGCTGCTTTGTGCATGTATATTCTCAGTTATACAACCAGAAACCATAGGAAGAATGGCACAGTAAGCTGGCTCAGTCCAACCACTAAATACAGAGTAGATTCAAAGTGAAGGGTTTCTATCACTCATCACATGGATTTTTTTTTTTGAGACAGGATTTCTTTGCATAGCCCTGGCTGTCCTGGAACTCGCTCTCTAGACCATGTTGGCCTCAAATTCGCTGAGATCCAGCTGCCTCTGCCTCCCAAGTGCTGGGATTAAAGGCGTGTACTGCCACTACCACCCGACTCACATGGATTTTATAACCTGCTGCTTTGTGCTACAAACTTCAATACTATCCAAAGACTTCAAGACTTTTGATTGCTGGGTCACTACAGAGTGACAGTGTCTAGATGTGTCTCTGTAGTAAGTGGCCAAAAAGTGTAGCTCAGTATGGCAGTTCTTCTGACCTTCCCTTTCGTTACAGAGTTAAGTCTGTGGTGGCTTCAGTATAGCAACTGAATACAAGATTTCAAGTGTCTAAGAGTGGTGCATTCTGAGACCCTTCTATAGAGAAAACACTAAACCACATAATGTGAAATTAAAAAGATGAATTCATATCCATGCTGGGATTATAGTTGAGAAAACGAAATGGAAACTGGATTGTGAAACTCAACTGTAAACTTAAAGTGCGAAGTTATAATATATGTCTTTCTGTTCCCATTTTAATGGAGGACAAATGGACAAGATCCAAGGCAGAAGACATAATAGTCCCTTACTCTGAAACAGAAATTAGACCCTGAAGTCAACCACAGTTCATCTTAGCAAACTGATTTGTCCACATACTGTGACCTTGAGTAGCTCCAAAGTCCCTTAATGCTGCTGGAAGAGGAGAATAAGAGTGCCTGCCCACATTTGTTTCCTGGGGCTGCTATAAAAAATTTCCACAAACATTGGAACTTAAAACGACAGATTTATTCTTCCACAGTTCTAGAAGCCAAGAGACATAAAGTTGAGGTATCCGCAAGGATGTGTCCCCTCCAAAGGCTCCACAGGAAAGATTTCCTGCCTCCTCCCTCTTGTGCTTGTTTCACATGTTGTTGACTTGTGACCGTCTCCCCGTTTTCCTATGTGCTCAGTAACTGCATTCCATGTGACATGTGTCATTTTCTGTGTCTTACAGGAACTCTCTCTGTATTTAGCACCCAATGCCAATATAGCCTCATATTGATAGGTCCCTTACTTGAATCTACAAAGACTATTTCCAAATAAGATCATATTCTGAGGGTCCAGGTAGACAGGAACCCTGCCAGCCTCAGAAGCCCTGTTAATTTCCAGCCCTTTTCCTGAAGATGCTGATGATGGCCACTCAGAATTTTGGTGCTTTAAAGATAGAGAGATAGATACGGACATTTTTGTGCATAAGTGTGGACTTTGTACTCACCAATGTAATGGAGCCTTTCCTCCACTTTTACCCTGGGGGCTTTGTTTAACCTATAGAAATGGGGGGAGTTTTTGTTGTATTTGAAATGGTCTTTCCCTGGAGCTTCTTCATAGTATCAAAATGCTTTTCTTTCATAAATGATCCATGATTTTTAAATTTTTTTTCCTTTTTGTTGAAAACTTTTCAATATATCCTGACCATGCTTTTCCTCCCCCTCAACTCTCTCAGGTCCTCCCCACCCACCCAACTCCATGCCCTTTCTTTCTCTCTTTATTTCCAAAACAAACAAAAACTCACACAGGAAAAAAAAACACTAAATCAGAAACCATAACATATGAGCAAAAGATCAAGAACACAAAAATACACAAACAAAGCAATATGAAACCAAATGTCTACAAAATTACTACTGAGTTAGTTTTGTGTTGGCCATCTAATGCTTGGCATGAAGCCTGCCCTGAAGTATGGTTAAAATACCCAGTGAGATTCCTTTGGAGAAAACTAATTTTAACTTCGCAAGCTAGTGTCAGTTGCAGATAGCAGTTGCAGATAGCTTCTCATTTAGGGATGGGAGGAGCCCATGTCCACTTCCCCACTTTAACACTGGGACCCCATCCAAGCTTGAAACTACAGGCACTATGTATGTGGGGTACAGTCTCCGTGCAGTCATGTGGACATCAGTCCTGTTGTGTCTGGAGGGCACTGTTTCCTTGGAGTCCTCCATCCCCATTGGCTCTTTAAAATGTTGCTAACTCAAACAAATAAAAATAAAATGTTGCTAACTTCTTCTACATAGATTTCTGTGCCCTAAAGTGAGGGGTTTGATGAAGACATGCCATTTAGAACTGAGTTTTCCAAAATCTCTGACTCTGCACACTGTCCAGTTGTAAGTCTCTTTGTTGGTTCCCATCTACATTACAAGAGGAAGCTTCTCTGATGATGAACAAGGCCCTGACCCATGGAGACAGCAAAACATCATTAGAAGTCATGTTATTGCTAAATTCCTTAAGCAAAACAAAATCATTGGTTTTCACCTAGGCCACTGTCCAACCTAGTCTCAGGTTCTTGGCCACCTGAGCAGTGTCAGACATGGCTTCCACCTCATGGATGGGCCTTAAATCCAATCAGAAAGTGGTTGGTTACTCCTACAACACTGTGCCACTAGTGCACCGGCATTCTGTGCAGGCAGGCCACTATTGTACATCTCAGGGTTTACAGCTGGGGCGATGGTTACCTCTCTCCTCTGGTACCTTCTAGTACTATGAACACTAATACTAGAAGTGGGGGTGAAACCTCTAGTTAGACACCAGCTCGACTTCTCTGTGTTCAGTTAGCTATGTAAATGGTAGTTGGAATGAAAATGGCTTTCTTTTTTCCTTTCTTCCTTCCTTCCTTTCTTTCTTTCTTTTTTTAAATCTTTATCCATAGTTCTTTTTTTTATAATTTTTTATTTATTTTTTATGTACACAATATTCTGTCTGTGTATATGCCTACAGGCCAGAAGAGGGCACCAGACCTCATTACAGATGGCTGTGAGCCACCATGTGGTTGCTGGGAATTGAACTCAGGGCCTTTGGAAGAGCAGGCAATGCTCTTAACCTCTGAGCCATCTCTCCAGCCCCCCTTTCTTTCTTTCTTTCTTTCTTTCTTTCTTTCTTTCTTTCGACAGCTTCTCTGTGTAGTCTTGGCTGTCCTGGAACTCCCTACTGGTCTCAAACTCACAGAGATCCTCCTGCCTCTGCCTCCCAAGTGCTGGGATTAAAGGTGTGTGCCACTACTCCTGGCTTATTCATCATTTCTTAAAGTGTCTCTCAGCCATTTGTGTTTCATCTTCTGAGAACTCTCTGCTTAGTCCTGTACCCCATTTTTTATTTGTTTTCTTGATGTCCAGTCTTTGTAATTCTATATATACTTAAGATACCAACTGTCTACTGGGTGTGTAATTGGTAAAGCTCTTTCCCATTCTGTGGCCTGCTACTTTGTCCAAATCAAGGTGTCTTTTGCCGCACAGAAGCTTTTCAGTTTCATAAGATCCTTTTTATTGATTGTTGTTCTCAATGCCTGTGCTGTCCTTTCCTGTGTCACTGAGCTCAGAGTTATTCCCCACTTTCTCTTCTGTCAGATTAAAGTAGCTGGTTTTATGTTCAGGTCTTTGGTCTATCTGGACTTGAGTTTTGTAGAATGATAAGTGTGGACCTACATGATTCTTCTACTTGCAGCCATCCAGTTTGACCACCATTTGTTGAAGATGCTGTCTTTGCTTCAGTGTGTATTTTTAGCTTCTTTGCCAAAATTCAGGTGTTCATAGGTATGTGACCTGCGTCTGGATTTTCAGTTTGATTTCAAGCTTTGCCCCATCCCCTCATCACCCCAGTGGAGGGCAATGGGTGTGGGTTGGTCCATATCCAGACAGCACTGGGCATTCATCAAGGCCCTGGGCTCTACATTCGGTTTCAGCAGGGTCTTCTGGCTAGAGTCTAAGAAAACAAACATGGTGCTCCAGGCTGAGTGTACAGTGGGTTGGCCTGAGCGCAGATAGGCTCTGAGTGGGACCACACTTAAGTACCTACATTGGCTCTGGAAAACAGCCTCCATTAGGCTTAGCCAGACTCTGTGCAGCTCCACCAGGGTTTTATTTCCTCCCAATCCATATCCATGTCTTCAATGAAAGAGTTGTCAACAAGACCGTGGGAAGGAAACACTTTTAATTTAATACGAAGTCACATTGGCCGCTGGGGAAGCCAGGAGGTCTTTGGGCTCCTGAAATCCCCTCTGTAACAGTGGGATCAAGGGGAAAGAAGGTAGGAAGAGCAGGAGGTTCAGTAGCAAAGTGCTCACCTAGTATGCATAAGACCTTGGGTTCCAAACCCAACATATATATATATATATGGGGGGAGGAGAGAAGGGAGAGAGAGAGAGAGAGAGAGAGAGAGAGAGAGAGAGAGAGAGAGAGAGAGAGCAGTTTGCTTTAGCAAACACTTTCTCCACATGCTCATCTCTCCTGTGACCTGCCCTCTGAAGCAAAACTCTTTTTCTGTGTGGTCTCCACCTGTCTTTAGGCCTTGCTGGCCATACATTCCCAGCTGCAATCCATGGACACAAAGGAAATCCAAGTTCTGGGAGCATGCGCAAGACATAGCAGCATCCTGTCTGCCTGAGAAGCCAGGCCAAGGTCAGCTGCTGCCCCAGTAGCTCTTCTGAGCTCAGCCCTGCAGGAAACGATCCCGATTGTCCTGTCCTCGGCTCAGGACAGGCAGCTGAGGACACCAGGCAGTGAGGAGGACACCAGGCAGTGAGGATGCCACCAGCAGCGCTTCACCTTGCCTTTAGGATTAGGCGGGTTTTCTCATCTCCAATGAAGAGCCTAGAAATAAATTGTCCTGTAAGGTCTCCATTCCCCTGGAAGAAAGACCCAGCCCCCATTACCAATCCCCGGGCCCAGAACTCTGTAGACAGGTGGCTCCCTGAGCTCAGCCCCCTCAGGCAGAAGGACGCTTGTGGTGGCCATTCAGAAATCAGCAACAGAGTGATTAGTGGTGTCTTACAGCAGGCCCTGGGCATGGCCTGAGGCCACTGCACTACAGTGTGTCGTGGTACAAGAAGGCCACACAGCCAGCCCAGATCCAGCCCTCTTAGACACAGCCAAGGGAAATGGGGAGGACCTGCCTCGAGGGGTAAAAAGTATATTCTAAATATATTGTACAAAAAAGAAAGAAAGAAAGAAAAAAATTAAAACTGTCTAAATGTGAAGCCCACCCATGGGAAAGGAAAATCTATGAGATATTCCAAGTCCCCAGAAATATGTCTCAGCACTACTTGGAGCCAGAGCCACTCATGAACATCTGACTCCTAACTCCAAGAGTCAGTCCCCTTATAAAGAGAATTTCTGTCACTTGGAGCCAATGGCCGAGACAGGGCCAGTTTAGCGAGGGTCAGTCTACCAGCTGGAGACTCCCTGTCGCCCTCCTACCTGATGAGCAGTCCTACAAGGAGGCCAGCCAGGAGGGGGCCCAGCCAGTAGACCCAGTGGAAGTCCCAGTAGCCAGCCATCACGGCGGGTCCGAAGGCGCGAGCAGGATTCATGCAGGCTCCGGAGATTCCACCCCTGCAGACACAGATACACCAGCATCTCAGAAGGGCCTACCTCAAATCCACATCCTTAACAGATCTACAGTCCACCCCACCCAGGCACCCCCTCTAAACTCCCAGGGGCTCCTGGGTGGATCTCAAAGACTGTAAAAGGCAAAGGGTGATTCCTACGTGACCTTCATACAGGCCACTCCCCACACATTCTAGAACAATATCCAGAAAAAAAAAAAAAAAAACACCTGCTTAGTCATGACAGGAGTTAATAATGGAAACATCCCTTTCCAAAGTCTATAAAGCAAAGTTCGAGGAACATCCCTCACTTTGGAATCCAGTTGACCTACATTCAAAGTCCAGTCCAGGCAATTCTACTCTGTAACCTTTGTCTAACCTCTCTGCGTGAAATGAAAGTGCCCAGCCCATAGGCTATAGCTAGGAATAGATGACAAAATGTGCGTGTCTTGAGGATCACTGTAGCGTGACGGACCCATTGAGGTCCTCATGCCACAGATCTGTGCCCTCCTCCTCCAGAAGGGGGCATGTACCCCAGGCTCATCAGTGGAGGCTTGATTACAAGGTGTGCCTCTAACTCTGGGCTCTGTCTGCAGACCCCATGCCTTCAGGCTGGGCCCTGCAGCCTTCACTGGGTTCTGTACCCGAAGCCTGTCCGAGTGGTAGAGCACACTTGTAAGTAACGCAAGTGCCACTAGAGGGCAGAAAAGCACCGCTACTACTGATCTGCATTCCCAGCGCACCCGCGGTAGCAAAGAGGCCTGAACACCGAGAAAGGTTTGGTTCTGTCTCCAAAAGGAAGCAAGGATCTGAACTTTTGGAAGTGACCTCTTACACACGTCATCAGATTGTGGGTGACTGTCCCAGGTCTGTCACGTTATTTAGACTCTCAGTGACCCTACGTCATTTCTTGCCTTTCTGAACCTGTTTGGCTACCTGAGCAATGGGAAAAATGATTCCTTACCCAACTTTGTCTCCTTAATGCCTCCCAGAACAAGAGGCTCAAAATAAAATAGGTGGGTAGAGGAAATTTTTGGTAAGACTGATGTCCTGAGGAAATGTTTTATTTCTACTGCAGAAATTAGGAACTTTTATAAAAATCCAGGTCTCTGACTTAGCCCTAACTGGAGGAGAAGGGTCACCACATTCCCACACAGCCAAAATTCACCTAACACTGTCTGATGCCACATACCCCACCACTGCCCGTCACCTGCTCCAAACCAGCCCACTGTCTCCGTTTGCCACGCTTCCCTGGCCCCTGTTGGCAACTGAAGCTGTAGTCTTCAGCCCTGATGTGGGCCCACATCTGGGCATGGCCATCACACTGCTGAGGGACACTTACCCTGCCAGTATATCCACAGTGACAGATAAGCCAATAGAGAATGGGGCCAGAGGACTCTTCGTCTTCTCGTTGACAGCGCCCATACACACGGCCAATACCAACAGCATCGTCAGAATGATCTCTGCCCCCAGGGCTACTGCCACCTGCCCCTGCTCCTGAACTGCTGCAAAGGCTGCCCCAGTTGCATTCCAGAACCTCTCCTCGGGACTCACCGCCTGTGGAGAAAAACCACTCAGTCTAGGACGGAGAGACGCTGGGAGCTGGGCACAGGGGTCTACCAAGCAGACCTGTGTTCCAACCCAACTGCAATCGGACATATCCACACCAACACCCAGTTCCTCTCATTTGTATGTGTGACTTCGGGAGCTACAAGACCTCTCTGAACCTTGCTTTGCTCATCTGAAAATTGAGGGTAACAGGTGTTGTGTCCTAAAGCCTCTGCTGCTTTATATAACCCCCTTTGAGGAAAAGAGCACAAAACTAGCCTGCCTCACGAGCTCTGGAAGCCGAAGATGTGGCAGGCAGGACCTGCAGGCTTTGAGGAAGGCTGAGTGAGGGATTGAAAGGGTCAGCCTCAGGGGAACAGGCACTGCTGGGTCAGAAGAGGGGGAGAAGGGAAGAATGGAAAGGAGGAGGGAGCACCAAGGGGGGGAGGGAGGGAGGGAGGGAGGGAGGGAGGGAGGGGGGGGAGGAAGGAGGGAGAAGTAGGAGGGAGGGGGAAGTAGGAGACAGGGAGGAAGAGCAGGCAGAAGAAGCCCGTGGAATTATGTGTAGAGCTTATAAAATCTTCAGCCCAGCCTGGGGATGGCATTCTATGGCAGAGCATTTCTCTGGCATGCCAAAGGCCCTACGTTTCATCGCCAGTGCTGGCGAATGGGGAGCCTGCAGCTAAGAAGAGCTTGCTTTTTTAAAAAACGCTTTTTATTTATCTTTGTGTGTATGAATGTTTTGTGCTCATGTATGTCTGTGTCCCAGATGCATGCCTAGAAACCACAGAGGCCGGAAGAGGATGCGGGACTCCTGGAACTGGAGGTCCAGCTGATTGTGAGCTGCCAGGTGGGTGTTGGGAATCAAACCCACATCCTCTGGAGGAGCATCCAGTGCCCTTAACCATTGGGCCATCTCCTCAGCCCCAGGACTAGCCTTTTTGATTGGTGGAAGGATTTCAAGCATAAATTGAACATCAACCCAAGAGTTGGGGAGGTGAAGGGAATCCCATCGGAGACAAGCCAGCAGACCAGTCCCAACAGGGATCACCAACCTTAGCCAAGGCAGACCCAATCAGTCCCCCAAGCAGCTGGGCGATCCAATAGGGAAGAAGCAGCATGACGTTGAGGCCTCCGATCAGTGTGACTCCCAGCGACACAGCAGGGTTGAAATGTCCACCACTACAACCAAGAAGAGAAGGAAGCCTTGAGGCCAGGTCCAAGGCTCACCACGAGGTGAGACTATGTACGCTAGCCTGTCCCTCAAGCTGGGCCTGCAGGCTGGACCAGCTGAGCCCTGCTGTAAGCAGAAATGTAGCAAATCCCCCGTTTTCCCAAAAGAGCCTTGTGGTGGGATGGAGGCTCAGAGGGAGCTGGGGATGGGTGGCCAGACCCTAGGTGGCCTTGGGGACAAACACATAGGGAGAACATCCATGAATTCCCCCAGACCCCGCAGAGCTTGCTCCAGTGCTCCAGATAAGGGGCCAGGATCCACATCTGCATTCTACATAGTAAACTGCAAAACCAAGACGTTGGTGTGTGTTCAGTGTGAATCTCTGCCTGCTAGTCAGACTCGGGGCTTCACTGAATCCAGCAGTTGCCATCTTCTATGTCTGGCACACAGGCTCGGTGGCTCACCTTTGTCGCCCAGCCAGGAAACCACAAGGCCCACCTAGATGAGTTATGTGCCTTCCATCCCACTCACAGCCTCCCTTGGACATTTAGAGACAGCAGAGTGGTCATTCTTGCTTTCCAGAGAACAGTGCATCACTGTCCTCACTCAGATCTGGTTTCGAGTGAGATTAGACAGAGAGTAGCCCTATCCCAGTTCACCCAGTCAGATGCCCCAAACACGATATCCACTATTACAGTTGGCTTTTTTAGGAAACCCTTCCCTCCAACCCATCCCACTGAGCCAGATAAAAGCCAAACAAGAGAAGGGTCATCTTTCTACCGTTCCCCCCCCCCAAAAAAAAAACCCTCTTGTGGGAGTAGAGCCCCAGTGGCCTTCTGTGTACCACAGTGGATAAACAAAACCTGGCTGGATCTTCTGTGCTGCTATGCTTTTCCTAATCCACTTCCACAGCACCCCACACTCTCCTGAGGCACTCAGCTTTGGGCCTAGAGTCAGACACTTGAACTTGACTCCTGGCTCCGCCCCCTCTAGCATGGACCTCTTACCAATGATGTGGACTTTCTGTTTCGCAAAAACAAAACACTCCCCTGCCCCAAGAAGAACAAACAGAACAGGGGAAATAACACGACCTATTCCGTGGGTTTATGAGAACAGAATAGCATCAGAAGGGTGCTCGGTATAGAGCGGAGGCATAGTTAGTAATAGGTGTGTGTTGGCTTGGAAAAATAACTTTAAAATATAGTTACAGTATTATTTCCATTTAACAGGCTTGGAGGGTGACCTGCCCACAGAAATCACAGGCTGCCGAGCTAGATGACCCCACTCCATATTTGTAAAACCCCCAAATGGGTACCCAAGAGCTCCCCATATTGGCACTAGGCTAACTGCTGGGGGCTGGTCTTACCTGATGTTTCCCAAGGTCGCGATGACGAGTCCCAAGGCCAGCCCATGAGCCAGGGCAGGCTGCAGGACCCCAGTGTCTGGACTGTTCTGAATGACCGAGAGACACCCGATGAAGATGAAGAGGGCAGAGCCCAAAAGTTCCACCATACACGGCTGGACGTATCGCTCATAACAGGACACCCGGCATCTGCCAGCCATGCTGGGCTCCTTCACCTTGCCCCCACCTAGGTCCACCTCACACATCGGCGTCTGCCGTAGGGAAAAAGAGAGGAAACACAGGTGGCAGCGGCCCCCAATCTGAAGTCCCCATCCCCAACCCTGGTACCTTTGCCCAGGCAACAAACTCACCTCCCCAGACATCAGTGCAAGAAGGTCCAAGCCGGAACTACCAGGAGCAGCACACTAGCTACGCTAGAATGTGCGCCCTTATCTCCAGGACAGAGACCGGTCCGCTACAGACAGCAGCTTTTAAAGGATTGGGGACGTTCCCCAAAGGTGTCCAGAAAGCAATAAAGCCTGGATGGGAGGTGCCCTAGAAGGGTAAACTTTTTTTTTTTTCTAATCTCAACAGGTCAAGGGCCACGTGGGATCAATGATTGCTGGGCTTGGTGCCAACAACGGAAAGGTGTGGCCTGCTTGCATCACGTGCTGAGCCTTCTCCATGGCCCCTTCCATGGTGCCTCCTCTCTCCAGGGTCCAAAGGTGGCCAGCGTGTGTGCACAGGCATGAGGAGGGCCCCACCAGGAGAGAACTGCACAGTTAGTAGCAGCCCACCCCTCTACCATTATCGTTCTGTCCTCAAAGGTCCTCTCGCCAACCAGGACCTTTTCCACACTCATCCTCACAACCTGATCCAGCAAGTGTGTGTGTAGATGATGGCTGACTGCCTGGGGCAGTAGACACAATGTGACACTATTGTGTGTGGTAAAGCTGGTGGACTTTGGAAACCCGGTGATGGGTGGGACCTACAGCCTCACATACTGGAAGCCAGGGCACCACCAATGAGATGCCCTCCCCGCCCCTCCCCCACCAACTCAGAGTGCCTGCATGAACCCCCAGCCCAGTATGAAGTCAGGAGCTAGTCATGCAACTGAGTGCCACTCAACTCCTTCCCCTTGGGCTGCTCTATCTGCAGATGACAGGGACTGAACCCTGTCACGGCATCCCTACAAGGTTTGGGTGAACAGACATGAGAAGGGCTCAAGGCAGCTCCAGATATATTCCCAAATTAACCCCTCATTGCACAAGTGGCCAAGCCCCCGCCCCTGAGGACCTCCGACCACCAGGCTCTGCCCACAAAATCTCTAACTGCCGTAAAGACCCCAGCCGCTCCAGAGACAGCCAAGGTCGACCCCACAGAATAGAAAGCCCAAGATCAAGATTGGAAATCCCTGTAATGCCACCCTGGGAATCTCCACCCTGGAAATCTCCACCTGGAAATCTCCACCCTGGAAAGCTCTGTTCCCCAAGAAGGCTTATGTAAACTCTGTCTTCTGCTCAGTTCTCACCTCAGCAGAGGCAGTCAGTCATTCTCCCAGTGTCTTGTGTGCGGTTTATGGGGCAGTGGGACTTTGTGGTATTCTTTGGTTCCCAACTGCCAGGATACCTTTCCTCTCAGAGCTGTGACACTTGCAGTGGGGAACCCCACCCCCATCCCCACACACACACACAAACACACACACAAGCAGAGCTTAACACTCTCATTGGAGAAGCCTTCCCTCTCAGAGCTGTAACACTCCCATGGGGAAAGTCTTTCCCCTCAAGACTGTATCACTTCCGTAGGGGAAGCCTTTCTCCTCAGAGCTGTAACACCGATCATAAAAACCATATAAAGCAGTGCACACACAATAATGTCCATCAACTTGAGAATACATACTTGGGTGTTACGGCGCACACTTGTACGTGCCAGGAACTGGCTGACAGCCTTGTACGGATTGTCTCGCGTTCACCTGGTGTAGGTACTATCTGTATGGCATGCCACAGAAGAGAAAGAGCTTTTTAGGGATGCCATAGCCTATCATTATAAAAACAGCGAGATGTCACAAAAGGACAGTGTAATTCCTCTCATATGATGCACCCAGACAGACACATGTATAAATACAGAAAGAAAGAAGAATGGGGCCGGGATAGGACTCGACTAAGCACTTGTCTAGCACACAGGAAGCCCTGGGTTGGGCCCTCTCCTTATCACCACACTGACCCAGACATGCTAATACACGCATGTAATACCAGGATGTGGGAGGTGGGCACAGGAGAGCACAAGGTCATCCTAGGCTACAGAGGAAGTCTGAGGCCAGCCTGCCTATATGAGATCTTGTCATAAAAAAAGAAAAAAAGTAGGGTGGAGGGGCAGCAAGATGGCCTAGTGGGTAAAGTCGTTTTTTTTCCTAACTTGATAACTGAGTTTGACCTACAAAGTGGAGGGAGGAAACCAACTCTTGCAAGTTGTCTTCTGACCTCTGGACAAATACTATCTATCTGTCTGTCTTTCTGTTTGTCTGTCTATCTATCTATCTATAAATGTTCTTTTTTTTAAAAAGCCAATATTTTCCAAAGCCTGGAGTAGAGTGGGTTATTGTTCAATGGGAACTTGGGTTTTTGTTGTGGGATTGAAAATATTCTAGATATGAGTGGCAGAGATGGATGAAACAGTCGGGGATACTCAATGCCACTAAACTGCACACTTGTGATAGTTAGAGGTACACTTTATGTCACACACACGTTGCCACTATTGGAAGGAAAGACTGTAAGCTCAGCTTTGAAGAAAAGTAGATGGTCAGATGGACTAACAGAGTACGGAAGAGCCTGAGGGAGAAAGGGAAAGGGGGAGGGAAAGAAGAAGTACAGGTGCTTCCTTCTTAGATTGTCTCACAGATATTTAAAGAGCTACTGTGACCCCATCTCACCGTCCTAACCGCTGAGTTTCGGGATTCTGCTGGGCTGAGAGCTCTGATCTGAGTGTCTGTGCACCGAGACAGAAGACCAATATTAAAGGCTGGGGAGTCTAAAGGCTATTTCTACCCCTTGCCAAGAGCGCACTACACGTGACTGGCACACTGAGTCTTATCACAGCAGACCTGAGATAAGTCTTGTTACTCATTGTCCGTACTTTTTGATGATTGAAGGAGGCACAAAGAGATTAAAGAACTTGAACACAGTGGTACAGATTACAAGTATCCACTCCAGGATAGAAGTGGATACACCCAGACAAAGACTGAGCAGTGTGTCGGCTGCCTTGCAAGCCAGAGCCCGACAGGCCCCCCACTGAGCATCTTTGCGTAGCCAAAGGTTTGGCCTTACCTTCATGCCAACCAATTATCTTCCATTCTGTGACCTGCCTCCTCCTCCCCCAGCATCACACTGGAAGGCTTCTTCGGCCTTCCTTCTGCGTTCCTGTGAGCAGCAAGATAAGATAGTCACCACGCGTTTTCCCCATGCAGCTCCCACAGCAATTCTCTCCTGCTTCCTCCCAGACCAGCGCCACTGCTTGTTCTAAAAATTCTAACTAGAAATGGGCAGATGACACAGCAACTAAAGGCCTTGCTGGGTAAGCGTGAAACTTGAGTCTGAATCTCCAGAAATCACATAAAACCTGAAGTGGTCCAGCAAGTTTCTAATTCCCGAGTTCCTACAGCACAGAGAGGCAGAGACAGGACAGCAGGCAGAGGCAAGAGAATCCCCAGACATTAGTGAGCTGGCAAGCCTGGTACACACAGCATCCAATAAGAAAGGACCCTGTCTCCAAAGAGCAAAGTGGAAGATGCAGAACAACGCACAAGGCTGTCCACATGTAATCTGTCACACACATAGAGAGACAGAAAGATAGATGGATGGACAGACAGACAGACCGTAGTAACTCCTCACCCAGACCCCATGCCTACCTAGTTTTCATCCATCCCTTTACCACTGGGAGCCAGTACAGCACAGTTTGGTACTTGGGTCTGTATTTAGGGAGCAGAATACTCTATTCTTCACCCGCTGCCAGCGTGGCTCCAATTCCCCCTTCTAGTATATGGGAGGGACCCACTCCCATAGGCTTGTTGTACAAATACATTGAGATAGGGCCCAAGAAATAGTAGCCTTTATAGCTTCTGTGAGAGTACATAAGTGCCATTACAAACATATCCCCCCCAACACTTCAATGCCTTAACATAATAATGGGCTCATTGCTGACAGAACTGTTACACAGTTTTCCACTAAGTGGTCACTGGATACCAGGATACTTCCAGCTTTGAGCTCCCCGTGTTGCCGCCCTGGAGTGTCCTCCAGTAAATGTAGAAAGAGGTTGCTATGGGCTCTTCCAAGTATACCTATGGGCTAGAACTTGGTTACCTGACTTCACCTGGCTGGAGAAGGATCTGAGAAACAGCCCAGCTATGGGTCCGGGAAGACAAAGAAAGACATTTTTGAGCACCAGAATGGTTGCTCCCTGCCCAGTCAGTCCAGTGACTGTCTCCAACAAGGAAGCGCCTATCTTAGCTTACAATTTAGGAAGGAACACCATCTGTGGTAGTGGAGAAGGCACTGTACAGATTGCTAGTGGCTGGTCACATTGCATCTGCCACCAGGAAGCAGAGAACAGGCCCCGAAAGTGGGCCAAAGGCTCAGTGTCAAGATGCTACCTACCTTCGAAAGGTTTCACAGCCTTCCAAAACAGCCCCACCAGCTGGGGACCAAGAGCTCAAACACAGGAGAGCCCAGGAGGCTTTTCACATTCAAATGGCAGCCCTTGGCCAGCAACACAACCCTTCCACCCTATGCCCTGATTCACCTCACCCCACAGGGCCCACACAGTTGAGCAGACGCATGCTCTCATGCCTGGCCCTGCTGTTCTCCTTCGACTCTTCTGACCCACTTCAGCTCCCTCAAACATCAGACTATATCCTCTCTCACTCCTGCCCGGGGCCAACCAGCTTTTAGTTCTCTAAACATGCCCCACTCCCACTCAAGGCCAGCCTGGATCCCACAACTCCAAAGCAAGTGGCTGGCGAGTCTCTAGTTAACCAGCATGTTTTCACCCTGAGAACTGCCAAGTGTCTGGGTGACTCCATGCACAGTGTGGTCTCTCAGACCACAAAGATCCCAGTAGGCTAGGGTGATCAGATTTTCCCAGTGACTTCACAGCTGGATGATATAGAACCAAGGCCTCTATTTTACTCTTATTTGGTACATTTACTACCTTAAAATGTTTCTGTAGCCCACCACCAGGCGCAGGTGGAGCTCAAAGGCAGTTAGCATTTGAGGGGACATTGTCCCCCTCTTTTCTTGCATGGCCAGCTAGTCTGCTCTTGCAAGAATGTGGTCAGATCTGTGATGACATCATGACCACGACACCAGATCAAACCCTGGACTATCCACTCCAGATCTAGTCGACTACCCTGCAGTCGGCAGACTGTGTGCCGGGGCATGACCGGGAGCTCTTGCAAGTTCACAGAAAGGCTGCGAACATTCTAGAGAAAACACAGTGATCCTCTTCAGTGTCTCTCAGACGCCACTTTGAGACCAGCTCAAGA